CGTATGCGTAATAGAAAAATATTCCTGCAGAGAAAAATGCTGCATTGCTGTTCTATTTTCCACAATGTACCATCGATACCACTTTTAACTCTTTTTATCAATGGAATTATGTTCCTACTTTTTCCAATACAGAGTCCCTTTGTCGTTTTACAGTTTTAACCATTAAGTTCTTATATACTTGTAAGAGAAAATTTACAAATTAAACAATAACTAATGCTACAAAATTTTTAAATTAATTTTGAAATCAAGTTGACCAGGGCATTACATTAAAAATTGTTAATTATATATTAAGTACAAGCGAGGAAGTTCTGTAACATATTCTGAAAAGTTGGGGCATCAAAATGATAAAACGGACCTCTTTACAGGACATCCTTTTTGCCTTTTATCTTTCACATAATCTTAAGTTCATTTCACGTAGAAACCCGAAAAAATGAGATTATCTTGAAATTTTATAAAACGAGCACTATTTAACTAATCGATTTCGAAATTTGCATAATAAATTCATATTCTCTTACAAAATGCGCTCTATATAAGAGTCTAACGGTGTAAAAAATCTACTATTACAGTGTCTGCTGAAATTCTTAACTATAGTTTTTAAACAAATTTTTAAATTAAATCATCCACACGAAAAAGGAATGACTTCTCCAACTTTTACCAATTTCAATGAATCACTACAAAACTATGTATACATTTACCCTAGACATCAAATTTTTACCAGCTTATAAAGAAGAGTACCTATTTCTTTCGAAATAGAAATATTTTTACACGAACATTATAAAAATACTTGAAGCGTGTTACAGTAATTGTTTGATAATTATATACTTGATATTCGTGAAGATACGAGGTGGCAATTTCTCCTTAAAAGCAAATATATTTTATACAGACTCTATCATCCCATGAGTAATGTTTCTTATCGTCCCTCTTTTAATAGATTCTTTAATGTCATTTTCGAAATGGTATGAAAAAATATGTTACAAACGAGAAAAAATCATAGACAAAAGTTAACGCTATTATTAATTAATTACACTAGTATTAATTTTTTACACCAGAAGTTACAGAAAAAAAGCGACGTAACTTGTGCGACTTAACGTTATAAAAATACTCGAACCGTGTTACACTGGCTGGCTGGTAGTTGCACCCTCGATATTCGTGAAGATACGAGGTGGTAATCTTTCCGCCTCGAAAGGAAGATTTAATAGATGATCATTAGTCATCCGCATAATGGAGAAAAAGCCAATGCAGAAATGAGCAGGGGTTGAATATTAACGGTGAACCTATTCCTAATTACGTTCTCTGGGGCTTAAAGCCTCTCACCACAAATGCAATACACACTGCATAGTTCCTTCTACCAGCCGCGCCGCCCGGTTCTCTGTGTTTCTCGCGTTCCCCGCGTTCCTCTTCGAGGGAAGCAAGGCAGCCTCAGACTGCCGGTACTCCGGCACTCCGGCACTCCAACCTCTTATAATGCGATTATTTCACGGTGACTTTCTGTGCCACGTTTCGCGGTTGAGAGCCTCGAGTATTCGTGTGCTCCTGATATTTTCGACCCCCTTTTATCAAATTACCTTCATTCCTCCCTTGAGTTAGCCTCTCCTCGGCTCCATGGGCCGATTCGCGTAAGCAAAAACGTTTGACCTATTACATTACTTCATCAGAAAAAAGAAGGAAGGGAAAAAAAGGACGGTTTTTTACGCCTTCCTCGTAAAAAAAATCTGGCTGTCTTATAGACTTTTCCAGGCTCCGAACATTTCTCCATCGCTTCGCTCCTCTATTACGCTCTCCATCGGCGTGGCGTACATATTTACGATGCAAACCGTATTTTCGCGTAAAGTAGGTCAAATTAATTTTGTAGAAATTCTGACATGCGAGTAATTATTTTCGCTTATAAGTTTTAGGCGTTGCAGTGAGAAAGTGCTGTATTTAATGAGATAGATTATTTAGCACAGTAGTTTTATTTACTTAGTTCTTTAAATTTTTTGGTAACCAAGGGAGACGAGCGAAAATTCTGGTTCAATCAGCAAAAGGAATAATTGTGTAAGTGTGACTTTTCATTGATTTTACAGGAATACGAAGAACAATTTGATTTATAAAATTAACGCTTCTCAAATTTGTTCATTGTTCCTTTAAAATTTCAAAAGGTTTCGCAGAATAGATTTAAGTACAAAAAGCTGTGACAGAAGTTCCGCTATCAGGTATTCAATAGCGGGGAAAAAAAAGTTACGTTTTTATTCACGGGAGTTGTTTTTATTTTATGAGAGTAGATCCACGCGGGCTTTTCACCGAGGCAGCTTTCTTTCGCAGCTTTGTTATTGTCGCGCTCGATTTCATTCTTTCGTTCTCCCTATTTTATTTCGCAGTCGAAGTTGCGTTAATTAAGGGAAACGCGGCCCCACCTTCCGTCTAATTGTAATTTAAGGAGATGGCAATGCGTGCCTTGAAGGAGGCACTCAATTTAAATAAACGTCGCGCAACGATACACTTTCAATCAAACAGTGTAACACATTTACAGCTACGCGATTTTTGTTTCTTTCCCGTAAACATTGTCTTCCTCCTTCGCAGTAAAATAAATGTTACTAATAAGAATTATAAATTGTTCAGTATTAAACTTTATTTTATAACGTTCTCTACTTAATTGTATAAGTAACAACTTTTAATAAGCGACGCTATTCCTCTCTTTATAATCGGTTAGATCGCATTAATTTAAAAATAATACCAATAAACATTTGAGAGTTTCGAAGGAAATTTATATAATAAATATTAAAAAGTGAGTTGCTGTAAAATTTCTCTTAAATTTGTGAGTTTCATTCAATGCATTTTTAAAATATAGAAATAACGGGTATAGCTATTTCAGTTAAAATCGATTGAACACCCTACACGATTACATAGAAATGAAATTTTAAAACTGCATAAAGAACCGCGTCGCCCATGTATGACTCTATTTACTCCACTACGCTTTTGTTCCATTTTATTTCGACCTGAAATTGGCCAGTTAGAAAACCTGTAAGCTGGGATTAGAAGGTTTTCTTTCTACCTCCGACAAAATTGTTTGGATATTACGAACGATATTGACTTTATTGACCAACCGTGGTCAGACCAGCTGTGTAAAAGATTAACAGAGTGGTTCGGTCGATGGTGTGCAATTTATTAAAAAATTTCTTTTGTAAATAGAGGTGAAACGATGTTGTACATTCGAATCGTATGATTGATAAAACTCGTTAAGACACGATTTATTACGAAATGTTTTCACTAGTTTCAAGAAATTCAGTTTTACAATTCTATTCAACCCTTTGCCTTACAATAACGTCTAAGACTCGCAGTGAAGATTTTAAATAGAATTTAATAAACATAATTATTACCAAGTTCCTGTGAATTCAAATGAAATATTATTTTCCTTTTATCAATTATTATACTTTAGAGCAAACGTGAATATGGGATGTGTTTAGAATTTTTTTCTTTTTTCAATAAATTATGAATGACAAAATAGTTGTTATAATATTCATTAAGAAAAACTATTTTCCATCGTAATTTTATGTTTGCAATTATATTCTTAAAAATTTGAATTTCCATAAAGATCGTCAATAATAACGTTTACCAACCTTTTCCGTTCTTAAACCCTGCTGTAATCTTAGATCACCTTTTATCTCGAAAAATGTGATCACAGGTTTTTCAGAATCCTCCCTTAATTTCCGAACTGTATTCTCCAACAAAGAATCGCTCGTAAGTCAGCGAATATCGGATCGCCACGAAGTCTGCAAACTATCCTAGCGCGTTCCTTCAGTTTCAACGTGACTGGACGGGACAAATATACATCGTATCGGCAAATGGAATATATGAATGATGAAGCAGAAGCACATGGACAATCACGGTCGTAGCGAAACGAAACGGACCCGTGTTTGCTTTGTTTCATTTTCGAGCGACGCAGCAGTGGTGCAGCCGCGCTTGATTTTATTGGCCGAAAAAATACGGGATCCCGATTCACGAGCCGGCGTTCCATCGTCGAACGCCTATCAGATGCAAAGTTACTCGCAAATGTACCCGCCCACTTACTTATATAGTTTTCCGATTAGAATGATAGAACTTTATCTTTCCCACTTTTCGTTTAATTCGTTTAATTTATTATTAATTTATTATTAAATAATAAAACAATAAATACTTGATTATCTTTTATATTCCCTAGTTTAGATTAATTCAATCAAGTGTTTCTTATTTTATTATTAAGTGTATACGATGACATTATAGGTGAAATACAATATCATTCAAATGATCAGTATGACTGTGTTTGGCGAAGACAATACGAAAAACTGAATGACTATGGTGCATAAATCGACTGGCTAGAAATATTTTGTGATTTGACAAAATTAGACTTTCGTACGGAGTTGTGTTAAGTTTATTGGTAAGTTTCCTGTTTCATCGAAGAAATTACAACCTGTTGACGTTCTCAGAGAAAACATACAATCTGATTTATGTGCCAGAGTTATCAAACACTGACTTTGTTGTATTTATTCCACTAAACGTACTCGCGACTATCATTTAAATTATATCATATTTCACGTACAACATCACCATATACATTTAATAATAAACCAAAGATGGGTTGCGATTTGTAAGTCAACGCGTTAAAAAATATACAGTCCACCAAAAGAACATTTCTTAATTTGATAGTGTATCACATATAAATGAGCGGATACTTTTGCAACTGAGTTGTTTACGAGTCAAAGTGATTGACTCCATTTTCTCAATAGCTCCAAAGTTAAGTGTTAAAACACTTAATTGATCATTTTCGTACATAATCTCATCAAAATGTCTTCTTTCTATTCGATAGAGACAGTCACTTTAACGAATGAACGGTTCAAACCGCAGTTCGCAGTTACTGACGACGATAAGCGGCGTGAGTGAACGCGTTAAGAGACACAAAAGAAAAGTCATGCTTTTACGAGCAACAACGGTAACAACAATAAATTATAGCGATGTGGAACAGTTTGGTATCGATTCTTACTGACCTTGTTAGGCGGCGCTTGGATCCCGTGGAAAGGTAGGTTCTCGTAAAACGTCTTCGCCCCGGACTCGGGAAGACCCTCCGACACGCTGTTCACGTGATTGTTATTCGCAGCTTGATTGGGATCTGTAAGTGCAAATGAAACATGACTTTGTATAATTGAACGCTGGGGACATGGAGAGTGCCGAGATTCAGTTGAGTGAAACCTACGAGACAGTACACGTTCGGAAAGTTTCTATGGAGGACTGTT